CTCTCAGCCATGCTTTTGGTTTTATATTCAGCAAGTTCTTTGTGAGAAAAAGCAGCCCCAAATGTTGGACTCACCTCCCTTGGCTTCCCTCTTCTTCCTGATCTGAGTCCTATGAATTCTCCTTGCCTTGGTAGCTCACCAGTGGCCTCAAACAGGGGTTTAATACTTTGTTTGCATTATTCTCAAGAGGCTTGGTCTGAATCAACAGAACAGACAGAAGTAGAAGTTCCTTTACACCTACTTTGATTATTGTTGTCACTATGCATCCATCTTTTTAGCTAATTACTTTGGATTGATCCTCAATAGTGCAATACCTCAATATCTCCCTCTTCCTTTTTTGCCTATTCTGCACATATAAAAAGATCGCTCAAAATCAGACTCTCTTGCCACTCGTTGTCCCTGTTATCTTTTAGGTTATGATTATCTGTGTAATTTTCTATCTGGTCTCCCTGCCACCATAATCTCTCAAATCCAGTCTTGTGTAGGACTGTGTAGTATAAAATATCCTGGAAATAAAACAGCTAAGCAGTCTCTTTCCAGACTCTGTACCTGATATGCCAGTTATGAAAGACACTTAATGGTATCCTACAATAAGTCATGATATCCATGTGTCCACCCAATGGATAGAAGACATCCACTTTTAGTTTTAATCCAATCAAGAAGTTGCTCTTTCACCCAATAGGGCTGACCAGCACCTCTCTCAGATTGGCAGAAGAATCAAAGGCAGTTGGTCCAACAATATCAGCATATGCTGACTGAAGGAGGGATAGACAGAGCCAAAACATCATGCAAACAAGAACAGCTGCCTTCCCATAGATAAGAGAAACAAGCAGCAAAATTTCCTAGAATATTTTAGGGGAAAGCAAAGTCTCTTTAGTAAGATTTTTCATAAAGACTTGATGCTTAAAGTAAACAGTGAAAACATGAAGAAGTAAAGATATAGACATGTCTGTAGATTGTAATATAATAAAAGAATTTGGCAGNGAGGTTTCGGTGATGGGACATAATAATCAACTACATTGTATATTGACAAAGTAAAAATAATAAATAAAATAAAATAAAATAAAAGTCATATAAAGAAAAAAAAAAAAGAAATTTTCCCAAATATATATTCTATCTTGTTATATCGCAACTTAGTACAAAAGGAGAAAAATACCTATTTTTTTAATACTTATTATTGAAATGAAATATGTACCTTATAAACAAAACCTATCACTCCATAGATGTTTATAATTTACACTCGATATTGGTTTAAAGTTTTCATTGAAAATACATAAGTACTGTGAAAATGTAGATTTGCTAACAGAGCCTCAGTTTGTACTCACCTGTAAAATAAAGCCTTCTCTTTTCCAAAAAAAAATATACTAAGCACAGTAACCAAAACAGCATGGTACTGGCATAAAAACAGACACATAGATCAATGGAACAGGTGCATTAGTCGTTTTTTTGTTGCTTATAATGAAATACCTGAAACTGGGTAATTTATAATGAAATGAAATTTATTTCTTCCAGTTTGGGAGGCTGAGAAGTCCAAGGTCCAGGGAGCACATTTGATGCGGGTCATCTTCTTGGTGGGGGCTCTCAGCAGAGATCCTAGGTGATGCAGGTTATCACACTATGAGGAGTGGGAAGAGAGCTTTCACATGCTCACTTGCTCTCCTTATAAAGCCACCAGTCCACACTCTTGATAACCCATTAAACAATCAACCCATTACTCCATAAATGGATCAATCCATTAATGACCACATAGTCCAATCACCTCCTAAAGACACACCTCTTTCAACACTGCCACACTGGGAATCAAGCTTCTGTATGAGCTTCAGAGGGGACAAGCATTCAGACCATAGCAATAGAGAACACATTTACAGCCAACTGATTTTTGACAAAGGCATCAAGAGCACACATTGGGGAAAAGACAGTCTCTTCAATAAATGGCCCTGGGAAAATTGGATATCCACATACACAAGCATGAAACTAGACCCCTATCTTTCACCGTATACAAAAATCAACTCTAAATGGGTTAAGGACTTAAATGTAATACCCACAACTATAAAACNAACAAAATTCATTTCTGTCTGGGTGGGCTACAACTCCTCCCAGCACAGCAGATAGCTCTACCTAATGGTCAACTGACAACCTGGTTTTGCCAGATTAACAGCTTCTCCCTAGGTTATTACCTAGAGCAACTCATACTCCTGAATGTCACTTATGTCAAAAAGCTAATGAGAAGAGGACACAAATAAATGGAAGAATAGCCCATGTTCACAGATTGGAAGAATCAACACTGTGAAAATATCCACATTACCCAAAGCAATCTACAGATTCAGTACAATCCTTACCAAAATACCAATCACATTCTTCACAGACATAGAAAAACAATCTTAAAATTCAAATGAAAATGAAAAAGACCCCAGATAGCCAAAGCAATCTTGAATAAAAAGAATAAAGCTGGAGGAATCACAGTATCCGACTTCAAAATATACTAAGCTACAGTAACCAAAACAGCATGGTACTGGCATAAAAACAGACACATAGATCAATGGAACAGGTGCATTAGTCGTTTTTTTGTTGCTTATAATGTAATACCTGAAACTGGGTAATTTATAATGAAATGAAATTTATTTCTTCCAGTTTGGGAGGCTGAGAAGTCCAAGGTCCAGGGAGCACATTTGGTGCGGGTCATCTTCTTGGTGGGGGCTCTCAGCAGAGATCCTAGGTGATGCAGGTTATCACACTATGAGGAGTGGGAAGAGAGCTTTCACATGCTCACTTGCTCTCCTTATAAAGCCACCAGTCCACACTCTTGATAACCCATTAAACAATCAACCCATTACTCCATAAATGGATTAATCCATTAATGACAACATAGTCCAATCACCTCCTAAAGACACACCTCTTTCAACACTGCCACACTGGGAATCAAGCTTCCGTATGAGCTTCAGAGGGGACAAGCATTCAGACCATAGCAATAGAGAACACATTTACAGCCAACTGATTTTTGACAAAGGCATCAAGAGCACACATTGGGGAAAGGACAGTCTCTTCAATAAATGGCCCTGGGAAAATTGGATATCCACATACACAAGAATGAAACTAGACCCCAATCTTTCACCATATACAAAAATCAACTCTAAATGGGTTAAGGACTTAAATGTAATACCCACAACTATAAAACTCCCAGAAGACAATATAGGGGAATTGCTTCAAGAAATTGGACAGGGCAAGGATTTTTTTGGATAAGACTTCAAAAGCACAGGCAACAAAAGCAAAAATAGACAAATGAAATTACGTTGAACTAAAAAGCTTCTATGCAGCAAAGAAAACAATCAATAGGATGAAGAGACAACCTACATAATGGGAGAAAATATTTGTAAACTATGTATTGACAAGGGGTTAATATCCATAATATACAAGTATAAGGAACTCAAACAACTCAATAGAAAAAGACTAATAATCCAATTTAATAATGGGCAAAAGACCTGTAAAGACATTTCTCAAAAGGAGACATACAAACAGCCAACAGATGTATAAAAAATGCTCACCATCACTAATCATCAAGGAAATGCAAATCAAAGCAACAATAAGATATCATCTCACTCCAGTTAGAATGGCTATTATCAAAAAGACAAAAAATAACTTATCAAAAAGACAAAAAATAACAAATGGTGGTGAGGATGTAGAGAAAGGGGAACCATTCTGCACTGTTGGTGGGAATATAAATTAGTACAGCCATTATGGAAAACAATATAAAGTTTCCTCAAAAAAATAAAAATAGTACCACCATATGATCCAGCAATCCCACTACTGTGTTTATATTCAAAGGAAAAGAAATCAGCATATTGAAGAGATGCTTGCACTCCCGTGTTTATTGCAGCGCTATTCACAATAGCCAATATATGGAATCAATTTAAGTGTCCACCAACAGATGAATGGATAAAGAAAATGTAGTATATGAGGGTACTTCAAAAAGTTCATGGAAAGATTCATATTATCTATTAACTCAATTTTTCCACACACTTTTTGAAGTATCCTTATTATATACATACAATGGAATACTATTCAATCATAAAACAGAATGAAATCCTGTCATTGTGGCAACATGAACGAACCTGGAGGACATTACATTAAGTGAAATAAGCCAGGCACAGAAAGGTAAACACCACATGATCTCACTTATATGTGGAATCTAAAAACATTGATTCCATAGGAGTAGAGAGCAGAACAGTGGTTACAAGAGGCTGGGAGGGGTTAAGAGAGGAAAGACCAGGAGATATTGGTCAACAGGTGCAAAGTTACATTTAGGAAGAATAAGTCCAGGTTTTCTATCACACCACAGAACACCTGTAGCTAATAGTAACGTAGTATGTATTTCAAGATAGCTAGAAAAAAGGATTTTCAATGTTATCACCACACTGGTAAATGTTTAAACTCACGGATATGCTAATTGCCTTGCTTTGATCATTGTATAATGTACATATGCATTAAAACATCACACTGTACCCCATAAATATGTACAATTACTATGTATCAATTATAAATATAAAAAATTAGGAAAAAGCTAATGAGGAAAAACTGGAAGAGAATATAGAGAAAGCAAAATGGTTTTGTTCTAAAGTGGTAGAATTATGAATGTTTTTTTTCCTTCTATGTTTTCCAAACCTTCCCTAATGCTATTATATTTTACATACAAAATAAAAAATACCCATTATAAATGATACAAAGAAGAGGCAATATCCTCTAAAATATCATAAAAAGCATAATAAAAACTTTCTTTTGAATTTGGAATTTTTGTAATTTATTCCAGTGACACAATTACAAATTTCTGTACAAGAGATGAAAATGGTGTGCCATGTGCCTCATGAGAAGATCTTAAAATTCGATCATCCTGATTGCCATCTGGCCCCTTCTACTTGTCTTTTTAGCACCATGCTGCCTATTCTAACAAAGCAAATGAACAAAATTTTTTAAATCTCATATTATTTATGAAAAGAAAAATTTACCTAAAATTTGCATATTCTTCTGCTTGTCGTTTCCATGGACAGCTTTGTATATCTGTGATAATCTGAAGGTAGTCATCCTCTGAATACCTAAAAGTTAAATTTCAATGAAATTAGATGATAAAGATCTCACATAAAAGTCTTCTTAGGGGGCCCTTTTATAATGTACTCATTTTAGCCCTCTACATCTTTTTTGAATTAAGGTGAAGTAGAAATATATCATACTGATTTCAAAACATCTAGGAACACACAATCTGCAAATAACTTTTATGTTGGTTTAGGAATGTGTGTTTTGCACATGTTATAAGCCAAATCCAGTACAGTATTA